TATTTATTTATCTATCTATCTATCCATACTTTTATCTGCCCATCTATCTATACATCTATCCATCTATCCATCTTTCTACCTACCTTTCTATTTATCCACCTATCCACCTATCTATCTATCAATCCATCTATCTATCTAGCTACCTATCTAACTATCTTTCTATATGTCTGCCTGCCTGTATATATGCCTGTATGTATGTATGTGCGTCTGTCTATATATCCATTCATTTATCTATCCGTATATCTACCACTCCATCTATCAATCCATATATGGATCTATCCATCTATCTTTCTTTCTTTCTAGATTGGTGGATATATAGATAGGTAGGTAGACATATGTGTGGATGTCTGGAGAGAGCGAGAGCTTGGTAAAGCAAACGACACAAATTGTCCTCTTTAGTCTTGCCGAAGAGATAGAGAAACCAACTCACAATTACTTACGCTCCTTCGACGTGTTTATGTTTGCTGTCTTTTTACTGCAAATAATCCATTCATCATGTCTCAACTCTTCTCTGCTACCATCATATTCTCCATTTTACACTTTGTTGTCTGCTACTTTATTGCCCTTCCTTCTCAGCCTGGCCTCGATTCCCTTCTACACGAATGAGCAAACGTCGTCTCTTCATCCTACTACTCTTCCTCCGTCTCGCCAGTAGTTTTCACGTCTACTTTTTTCGTTTGAGTTTCCTTTCTATTCTTCTTCGTCGACTCTTTTTCCTCCTTTTCATTGCAAAAGTCATATCCTTTTTACAAAATATCTCTCTCATTTGCCAATTATGCAGCTTACTTTCATTTCAAGTGAGAGTGTGTCTTGTAAATACATTCGCGTTGGTCGATCCCCACAAATCGGTTCTAGCAACGAAATCAATTAAATTAAGCTAACAAATCAATACATCAAGCAGACTGTATATCCAAATCAATCAGTTAACCAATCTTTCTATTAAGATAGAGGTGCAAAACCTATTAATTTTTGTAAGAAATAGAATAACGATAATTAGTCAACCTCCAGTTTGCAGGTTTAGAGTATATATATATATATAAATATAAATATAAATATAAATAAATATATAAACAACATGTAGAAGGAATGAGCTATTAGCTTGAGGTACCAGCAAGAATTGTATCCGCCTGTGTTCTGAAGCCTTTTGAGTGGCATGACTCGTACCAGACGACAACATCAACCAGAATGTTT